ATGGTTTGCAGGGTCCCTGGGTTTGCAGGGTTCTGCATTTTTTAAAGAATTCGTTAAGATTTAATTCGGTTTTTTGCCGAATTTTCTAAAATGAAATAAATTACGCACTCTTCCATTCTTTTACGAAATTTCGGAAGAAAATCTGTGAAGCAACGAAAATAATGCTGCTATGTGAAGAATATCTTTCAGAATTTTTCCAGAATTTTCTTTATTTTTCGTACAGAAATTTCTTTACGAGTTCGTGTCAACCACTTCATATAATTTTCTTTGAAAATTCGGAAAAAAATCGTTACAGAAATGAGATACTCCTAACGATTTCCTTAAGATTTCGGGAACTTTGGTTTGCAGGGGTAGTTTAATGAATGTGTATGTATATTTCATTTGTGAAATTTTGTGAATATGACTGTTTAGTCTTGATCCCACTGGTATTTTAGGCAAGTGTAATAAATTGTGTAGCAAACATATGTACATATTTACATGTATTTATGACATGATAAATTCATAGTAGGAGCATTCGCTTATAGTGTAGAAAGTTTGGAAACTTTGGCTGAACCGTAAAATGTTTCTAATTAATTTCTCGAGTTTATTAGTTACTAAAGCAATCACCGGAAACTACGTAAGTGTTACTGGTGTATTTTAGGAGTTTTTCGGCTGATATATTTATAAAACAAAAACTATATTTTAATTTTTACTCTAAGATGGTATATATATAGTTTGATAAATTGACATTTTCTTTGTCAATTTCTTTACGAGTACATACATACATATGACAGACATACATATGTATCTAACACACCCAACTGCTGCTGAAGATTCTATCTATTTTATTTCTTTATGGTAGATACACAATTGGGGAAAAAATAGAAACGGGACATTTTCACCAGTTTCGGCTATACTTTTCATTTATTTGATATTTATTAATTTTTAATAATAATTATATAATCACCAAAAAGTCAACCTTTTTATTCAGAATTTTTATAAAAATTTAAGGTATGCAGTTTTATAGCCCATTGAATTTTAGAATAATAGAGTGCATGTTTAAAGTGGCCAAGAATTGGGGTGTTGTTTCTTCTACACTATTGAAGTATGCTCGAGATTTCTTTGTTATGGAAGGAAATGCACAACAGCGTAAAAAAAATCAGCCTCATTGCTTAAGTCGTAAACTAGACTAAATTAGACGACTCGACGACATTATGAAATGACTCATATTTTACGTCAGAATTTAAGGGATTTCTGAAAAATCTGACCAGTTCTTTTGTGTACATGTGATTTAGCATCCCTTTTCATCATATGGCCTCGATCAATGATAACTTAAGGTCTCTGTTTTGCTGCCGTAAAATTGTAGGGAAATGTTTACAGCGTTTTTTATGTGCATTGGTTTTTATTTGAATGTATTGAGCATCGATCAGTCTAAAATGTCCTTTTCTTGTAGGGTACTGTCGTGCTGAAACAAACAAACGACGAAATTCCGACGACGAACTATCCAGTGCTGCCAACTTTTTCCGTTTTAATACACTAGTCGGCTCGAAATTTTAGGCATTCAGCCTCATTGCGAGAGCCGTGCCGAATGCAAGTCGATTTTCGAGAGTCGAATCGTATCGAAAATTTCATATCATTGGCAGCACTGCATAGTTTTCGACGATTTTCGTCGTTTACTTATTTCAGCACGACATTAGACAATGCCATTGTTGGCGAGTCGTACAATTTAGCCTAATTTACGACTTGTGCAATGAGGCTGATTGACGTGCAATTTTCGATACGACTCGGCTCTCGATAAACGACTTGTACTCGGCATGAAGCCGAGGAAATATTTTTTAATAGCATGGTTCTGTTAACATTGCCTAAACAATATCTCTGACAAGGGGCAAAACTCGCACATAATTTTGGAAAAGGGTCAAATAATCAAAATTTTCAAAAAGTCGGGTGAAAGGGTATTGGCTCTTAAAAAGGGTCAAATTGCCCCTTTAGTCGCACAACGGCAACACTCACATAACTACCTAAAATTTTTCTAAAAATTCCGAATAAAAAATTTGTCGAATTTTTTTAATTTCTCACAAAGTTAGAATGTTTGCTGCTGTTTGTTATATAATGCGCTAGACTTTTATAAAAAATTAATAATCATAAAATAAACAAGAGAGAATAGCCAAAGCTGGTCAATATATCGAGTTTCAATTTTTTCCAATAGTGTATACGTACATCTTAAAGTTCTTAATAATTTAACTTCTATTAATGAAAGTGGTGGTAACTTTTAAGCACTTTTTCATGTTAGTTCTTAAGTAATATCATACGTACATAGTATCTAGTATAGTATCTCCTATAGCCGTAGAGAGTTAAATCAGATTCGGCATGTTAAAACCGAGCAACAAGTAACTCGCATTTTGAAAATAGCTGTTAGTATGTTTTAATATTGTTATAATTTTGTTTATATTATTTTAAGTTGAAATTGAAGTGCCTAGTTTTCAAAGAACAAATGAAGACAAAAACATTTTACATAGTATTTTTTTTTTATAGAATTAAAAGTGGCAAAATTTACCACCACACTGCATCGTAGGGATAAACAAAAAAAAAAACAAATAAAAAATTGAAATTGCTTCCGTTACTTTCATAGTCCTCATTGAATTATCACACCCTGACATATGTATGTAAATAAACAGGTATACACACTTGTTCATATGTATGTACGCACATACTACAAAGGTGAATTATTTAAATTTATTCCAATTGGAATCCTTTTACCTCCATTTGAGTGTGTTTGTGTGGTTTTACAAAAATATTTACTACTATTTATACATATTTTCAATTCAAGTACTAATTTTTTATAGTTGGTTGTAAAAACTTCTAGAAAACTATTTTTGTTTAAAACTTTTTTGTTCTATTCTATTTTTATACATAAGTATGGATTTATGTATGTATGCATGTATGACCACTGCTAGTGCTAAAATTATATACATATAAGTTTTTATTTTAGTTGGATAATATACACACAAATTTTGTATGCGTTTATAAAAGCCTTGTAAAATTTTGAGGTTACAGAGTCCGGATTGTTTTCTTTTTCATTACACATATTCGATTTCCTTTTTACACATACCGAAATACCTTCCGCGCCATTTGAATAGCGCACCCTTTTAGTCTTCAGTAATTTCAGATTTCCTTTTGTTTATTTAACATTCATTAATTTTTATAAAAGTGTAGAATATTTTACGAGTAAATCCGATTTCCGAAATTTCAGCAAAGGGGTGCGCTATTTTATTGACCTGCAGTGAATAAGCTAATAATATTTTAATAGAAATTTCGGATATGAAGACTTGTAGTCCATTCAATTTTAGTTAAATAAAGTGCAAGTTTCAAGTGGCTGCGGTCAACAAAATTTTTATATGGAAGAAAAACGCAGGGTCGTCGACAAAAAAATTTCAAATTTTACGCTGTTTTACAGCCACTTGAAACTTGCACTTTATTAAACTGAAATTGAAAAGGTTACAAAACTGCATATCCGAAATTTTTTTAGAAATATTATTAATTTATTCACTGCAGGTAATTAAGATATCGCGCTCCTATGTTGATTTTTTTTTAATTTGCACAAAATTTAAAAATCGGATTAACACATTGAATATGCTATATTTCCATAAAAATATCATGAATATTACATAAACAACAGGAAAACTGTAAATACTAAGGATTAAAAGGGTGCGCTATTCAAATGACGGAAAGTGTGTATATATATATATATATATATATATATATTACTATATTATTGGTGTTATATACTCTTATTTAGAATGTTAATGGATGAGTGATGTTGTATGCAGTTTAAAATATGGAAATGTGTTGTAAAATTGTTGCCAATGGTTTTACTTTAGTAATGTCATTAACTGTAAGCTATTTTTTGTGATGTATGCAAGTATGCATGTATGCATGTATGCAAATACATATATGTACATACATATGTATTTATAAGCATATGGAGTATTATTCTGCTATATTTCGCTTTTAACGTGTTATCCACCAAACGCGTCAGTGTTTTAAGATTCCAGTGAAAACTGTCCAAATTTATGAAATTATATTTTATTTTTAAAAACGTTAAGGGGGTGCTTATAATACCAGCCTTGAGCTGAGAGTGTTTTTTTATTTGCTCATCAGCTTGGAATGAAGTTCCGCACTTTTAAAAGCATAAATAAAACTTTTTCAAAACTCGAATATCTACAACTGAAATCTCACCCAAGATGATATTTTAAAGAAAATATAATGTCAAAAGACACTTTTAACAACAAGGTGACATTATAAACTCTTCTTACTTAATTGCAGCAGTGGATGATCATCTAAGCAAAAAAAGATTTTGAATAAATCCCGAGTTATATGTACATACATATTTATTTAGAAAGTAGCATAAACCATTTCATGCGGTTTGACCTCAGTGACCATTCATCCATATCTGAACGTGTCTATTATTCTTTCAACTTCATCAGAAAAGGTAAAAAAAGATGCACTCAGTTAGAAATAACCAAAAATCTAAGCTCAAGAGAGATATATCGCAATTGGCAGTAAAAATGTTAAATGAAGCGAGATTCACAAAACTTCAAGGTTGCAATTTGACTATTAAAAAAAAAAAGTATTTATATACAATAAAAATAAAATTTCAAGCCTCTGATCATTGTGTTAAATGGTTAAAAACTTTCTTGGAGTTTGTGTTCCCATTTTCCATGTGAAATAATATTATTCATATATATGATTTTTCTCTCGATCAAATAATAATGGTAACGTCAATTTGTGACTGAGAGGCGGAAGCCAATGGGTAGGTTCAGAAGACGCAGCAGTTGAGCGCAACAGTTGCTTAAAAAATCAGTGATCGTTATGCACCTTCTGAACGGCTTGATACATTAGCTGTCTAATTCAACTCTCAAAGGTACATACCAACATGTTGTCTCAAATGATCAGAAAAATATTACGATCATCTAACACACAGCTGTTCAGTTGATCAGAAGTAAACAACAATACGTTCAGAAGGTGCAATTACTGAGCTGTTGCGCCTTCTGAACGCGCCCAATACTTCTGTTATGTATGTACATATATCCTTGTTCTACTTTAAGCAATTGTGACGTGCATACATAAATACATATGCATTTGTTTAACTTTTTATCATACATACCTACCTACTTACTTACTAGGTAATATAAAAACTTATTTTGTGTATATAGTTGGTTAATATACGGATCATTGTCCACCTTTCAAATGTGAGGATGCAATCTAGGCTAGGAAAAGAAATTGTGTTAGTCTTGCTGACATTGAAGCTGGTACACCCGCTGCATTGAAAAGCCACTACGCTAATTTTTCGAATTTATGCTTCGTTCGTCGTCGTTCCGGTTACCTTGACCCGGTCAATAATTTTTTTTTGCTTCTGTTTAAAAACTCCTTATAATTGTCTTTTTTGTTGCTGTAGCGGTATAACCTTATGCTGTAATCGCACCCTGCTGGGCACTTGCATTCTATGTCAGTAAAGCTCGGTGTGTTGGCGTGTCGGTGCTGGAATCTTGGACAAACCGCGTTCCCGACGTGGGGAAACAATGACCGACGACACTTCACGGGAGTGAGTACTCTCTGTGGACGAAGCGGCCGAGTTGCGTTTTGACAGGGTTTTTGTAGGAGGCGAGCAACTGCTGGAACGTTCTAGATTGCCATTACTATGTACCCAAGCAGTTGTGAAGTCTTCGTATACGGTCTTCTTTGCTGCGTTACTGGAGGTAGCCGTGGTGGCATTTTTTGAGTTCGCATACGCGCTTGTCGCGGCTCCCTTGTTGCTATTGCAGTTGGTGGAATAGCGCGAGAGTAATACCTTCATTTTTTCTAAAATTTGAGCATCGTTTTTAGCGCTGCTGGCTGCTTCTAGTAGCTGTTGTGCCAGCGGCGATGTAGCGTAGCTCTTCACGGGCGAAGTGGTGAGTGAGGCTGTGCAGCCACGTACACGACGTCCGTTGCTATCGTAAAGTAGCTGGGAGGAGCGTGTGCGTGTGTTACGTTCGAAGGCGCTAACTGCAGGCGGTGTAGCGGTGCTAGTTTTTGGTGCAAATATGTCGGCGTTAAGAGTTGGTCGTTTCTTCCCACCAGCGCGGCCGCTCCATGTGTTAGTGACCTCGCGCCCGGGCGGAGTTATGTTTTTCCGAGTAGCCACAGATGTGGATACATTGTCCCTGTTTCTGTTTATTTCATTCGCCGGCCGACGCACTGAATGGTAAACGGGCTGTTTGCGTTGGAATATAGGCAAGCCTGTGCGCGTAGAAAGGTCCTGCATGCTGCTGCTGCTACAGTTGCTGTTATCCAAGCTGCGGCGGCGCGGTGCCATGGGTGAGTGCGGTATTTTACTGCTTTTGTCTGCAGAATCTTTTAACTCATTGGCAGTTGGGACGCTGGTATCTGCATTCTCCTCGCCACCGAATATTTTATTGGAAAACCCAGTTTTTCGCAACCCAGTGGCGCTGGCGACGTCCACAGTGATTTCATCGTCGGTTATGAATATTCCTGATTGTTCGAAATTATTTACCAAGTTGCTGTCGATAGAATTTAGTGGAAATGTGGCTAAAACGGCTGGGAGCGACTGCGGGCCGCCATTTATTTTGAGCTCTAATGAGGGTCTGTGATAGTCTGTTGCCAGTAGATCATCTTCTTTCTTAGAAATTGCCACGTCGTCGATTGGCGAAAGTTGTGAATCACTGGAAGTTTGATCAAGACGCCCTAAAAATTGAGAGGATCTTATTTTATTTTTCATAAACATTATATGAATCGAACAGTTTCTTACCGTTACTTTCAGCGTCTTCCACTGAAGCTTGACTATGCAGGGACTCGCGCTTTTGAGCATTAGATTGTATCACGCCCAGACTCCGATAGCCCTCATCACTTATCTCACTGCCATTGTCGCTGATATTTTCGAATTTGCTGCTCATTCCGTTAGTGTTGGTATCGGAATTACTGCTACCCGTTTGTGAAGTGTTATTTTCTGTTGGTCCAGCAGAATAGGTAAGTCCATCAAATTGCACATGATTACCAACGGCTTCGTTGCAAATAGGTAAGGACTTCGGCCCGCTGCTGTTATTCGAATCCAATGAGTTTTGCTTCTTACGCACGTCGATCAAGCGTCGTGGACTGGGTGACATAGAACGACGTACGAAATTTGGTGAGTTCAGTAAGGTTGAGTTTCCAGTTGTGCCATTGGTTGGAAGAAATTTCTCGCCGCTATTACATTGGCTCGTACAGTCTGGTGTATTTGAGGCATTGAGGTGATTCAAAAACTTGCGTTGGGGGGTTGGACTACGACTGTTTTGCTTGTTACTATTTCCAAAGTTTGGTGATAAATTGCTTGTGACATTGCTAGTGATAGATGGGGAGAGTCCCGACACAACGGCGGCAGCTTGACTGTTGAAGTTGGAAATTATCTTTCGTGTAGACGGCGGTGAACTAAAAAATGGAAACAAAAATACTTGCTGAATTCGGAAAAAATAAATACTTTTTGCAAATGTTTTCAGCATTTGTTTTAAGCATATATTTATACATGTTATTTTTTAGTACATATATCGTAATAGGCCAAAATCGTTTAGGCGGTTAGAGCGCGAACCAAGAAGAAGATATCGTTACCTTAATATAGAAAGGCAGTATCAACATTTTTATTTCTTCGCACAGTAATTTTTAAATTTAATAAGATGTAAAGTTCTTAAGTTGCGAATTTCTTTAAAATTCTGTTTTGTATTAAGGGCTGTATGTAATAATACTGTTTAATACTGCAATAATTAAATTTAATTTTTATTAGATGGCTAGTTCGGCCGACTTTTCTACAAAGCTGGATTCCGCAGGTAATGATTTGGGCCTTTTGATGTTACGGCAACGATATAGACATGTATGTATGTATGGATATGCACTTAAAGGACACCATCACCATATTCAGCGTAAAGGCAGGCCAGGGCAGGACATCCATAGCTGCTGGTCCCAACGAGCTATGATTTGAAGCGAAAAATTTGCTTTATGAATTTGTCCTTGAAAATTTAACACCCGAGAGAACCTGGTTGTGCAAGCAAGAACTGGCTAAAACTGCCAATTCTTTTTTTATTTTAAGGAACAATGATGTCGCGATGTTACGTACCCTCGAAATGAGATTAAAACATCGTTTTTCGTATTTGGTTCTCGCATAGGTGAGTATATTTAAAAAGCTGACGTGATAGAGGGATTCTGAATTTAGTTTCGCATTCAGCGACCCATAATCTACGAGAAACGACTAGTCTAATTCAATGTGAAATTACCAAGTCGCACTCAATCCAGAGGCAATTGCGAGATTACGAGTACATACATGTAACATACCCTTTTTTCAAGTATCTAAACATCTTCACACAGCAAAAAATACACTGAGGGAAAAAAATATTAAAATCAAATAGAAACGTAATTGATCTTACTATAAATGTCAACGAAAGTACTGTATATTGGTAAATATTCAATTCAATTACGCGCATATTAAAATGACCGCGTTTGTACTGAAAAAGCATCCGTGAAGTGAATAATCAAGACAAAAACTAAAAAAAAAAATCATTTGCATGTTGCCTGCAGTGGAATTCGAACCCGACCATCTCCGGATAGCAACAACTTGTGGCATGCATCTTTGCGCACTCAGCTACACCCAGGCATATAAATTTGCTTTCAAATGTTGAATATCCATCAACACCACAGCACGCGATTTGTACTATGTATGTATTTGTGTGTTGTCACCGCTCTCAGAGCGGCGCTCTGCATGCTTGGGGTGCGCCCAATAAACATTGGGCTTGGTTAACAATTAGAAAATGATTGGAAAACTAACATTTTTTCAAGTCTCACCTTCGATAACGAATGTGGAATAGGTTAGTATTCGATTCGAGAACTAGGCCATTCTGAGTGATTTTATTATATTCCCATTCGAAAATGAGCTGGATTTCACTTCCTCTCTTGTTACTATGGTTTTCATTTTTTTCGAACCCATCTCGAATGTATTTCCAATACACTATGAACGTTGGAAAACTAAGGTTGGTTATGAGTTCGTTCTCAGTTCGATATTCATATTGGATATCGAAGGTAATTTTCGAACGTTCGCCAAAATGTTTATAGGGTATGTACACTTACATATACATACTCAGATGTGAACAGTCAAATACGTGCGTAATAAATTTTGTATGAAAATATTATTTTTAAATACGAACATTTTTAAACGATAATCAAATATAAAGTATTCATTTTTACTATGCATTATTTCCCTCAGTGTATGACATTACAATTAAAAATTCTTTCTATTTATTAAAAGTTCTTAGACGAGGCCCTGTGATTTATGGTTGCATGCAGTGGCAGATTTAGGGGCTGAAACACACCCCGAAATTTTTGGATCGACATTAATAATTTTTATTTATTTTAATTTTATTTATTTTATATTAATTAACAGGTTGGAGTGCAATGGGGTATATTCGTTGTTCACCATACTCAATCCCGACTCTTGCGTCCTCGTTCACGCACTCTGTGCAACGTGAGCAACCCATGTGTCAGATGCTGTAACCAATCCGAGTGGAGCATTGGGTCACGGCAGAAAGAGAGGGAGCTACGGTGGGGCCACTCCGACTTATTCGGTTTAAGGGCTAACTGAAGTCTGCAGCGTCTGTTCACGAGTAGGTGCGGTTGCAAGCGGGTGCCTGTCTTGGAGCAAGCGGCTGGCTATAGAAACGTGTATTTGGTTGCGAAATCAACCCGTCCCGTGCGCTGGGTTTCGGACCCCCACATAAAAACCACTTCCAGTGAAGAAAAAAAACAAAGCCTCGGATGAGACCCACCCCTCATTATGACGACCACAGCAAACGTTTAAAGGACTACGATTTGAGGACAAGCATCTGGAATGTCCGGATTCTTAAAGGGGAATGTGCCTCTGTCCAGCTGGTTGATGTCCTCGTAAGGACAAAAGCTGACATTACCGATATCCAAGAAATGTGGTGGGAGAGAGGCTCCGCCGCCGAGTACTGTCGTTTATCCCGGTGGACGAGCGTCTAGCCAGAATCCGCATCAAAGCGACATTCTTCAACATCTCGCTTACCTATTGGAGCGCACGTAAGAGCGCTGGCCCCGCCATGATATCAAAATCGAGCTTGGCGACTTCAATTCCCGGGTGGGCAAGGAAGGGATATTTGGAACCTACGTCGGAAAATTTAGCCTCCACGACGAAACGTCCGACAACGGACTGAGGCTGATCGACTTCGTCGGGGCCCGAAACATTATAGTATGCAGTACTAGGTTCAAGCATAAAAAGATCCATCAAGTTACGTGGCTGTCTCCGGATCGAAATACGAGAAACCAAATCGATCATGTTGTGATAGACGGAAGGCATGCTTCCAGTGTTTTAGACGTACGTACACTCCGAGGCCCAAACATCGACTCGGACCACTATCTTGTTGCAGCCAAGATACGCACCCTTCTCTGTTCAGCAAAAAATGTCCGCCCAAATATGCAAGGAAAGCTTAACGTTGAAAGCAATCACAACAGACAGCCAATGCATTCGCAACTCGACTCTCACACCTGCTCTCAGAGAGCGCTCTTCAACAAACCGACATATGCGAGCAGTGGAACCACATTTCCTGCTCATTAAGTACCGCCGCCGAAGAAGTAGTTGGATTTCAGCGAGCCCGAAGTAACAACTGGTACGATGAAGAGTGTCAGGAAGCTGCAGAGAGAGAAAAAAGATTCCGCCTACATGGCCACGCTGCGATCGGGCGCAACGCACGCTATGTGGGATCGCTGTAGGTAACTGAAGAGGGAAGCGAGACGTATTTGCCGCAATAAGAAGAGAGAGGCCGAAATACGTGAGTGCGAAGAGCTTGAAATGCTGGCCGACAGGAAGAATGCCCGAAAATTTTACCAGCGAGTTATGCGACTTACGGAAGGTTTCAAGACCAGGGCGTAGGAGTTGATAAGGTGCATTCATCAACTCTTATGCAGAATATAGTCAGATGAACCCATGCCCGACGACTTGAATTTAAGTGTGCTCTGCCCAATCCACAGGGAAGGCGACCCCGCATAGGTTATAAGGTCTTATCGAGTGTATTGTGCGAAAGACTGAAGCCTACCGTCAACGAACTTATTGAACCTTATCAGTGTGGCTTTAGACCTGACAATTATACTACAGGCCACGTATTCACGTATTGGAAAAGACCCGCGAGAAAAGGATCGAAACTCACCACCTATTTGTTGACTTTATAGCCGCTTTCGACAGCACTAAAAGGAGTTGCCTATACGCCGCCATGTCTGAATTTGGCATCCTCGCCAAACTGACGTTGAATGACGTTGAGCAATACGACCAGCTCCGTCAGAATTGGGAAATACCTCTCCGAGCTTTTCGTCACAAAACGGGGTTTCAGACAGGGCGACTCCCTCTCATGTGACTTCTTTAACCTGATGTTGGAAGATAATAAGAGCTGCAGAACTGAAACGCTCAGGAACAATCTAATACAAGAGCGTGAAGTTGCTAGCGAAGACGAAGTATCTCCTGTCATCAAACAAACAGTCAGCACATTCGCCCCTTGGTAGCCACGTCACTGTTGACAGTTATAATTGCGAGAAAGTAGAGAATTTCGTTTACTTGGGAACCAGCATTAACACCGATAATAAATTAAAATCCAACGCAGAATCACTCTTGCCAACAAGTGCTACTTTGGACTGAGCCGGAAATTGAAAAGTAAAGTCCTCTCTCGTTTTGGCACGCATGCCGTCGAATTTGTTTTTTTTTGCGTCACACGAAATTGGACTGCGTGCGTTAGCATTTGATTTCATTGAGCGAAACGTCAAATCAAAATGTCACGCAGAACAGAAATTGGAAATTGAGCTAGCTTCATACGCACGCCGTTCAATTTCGGTTGGTCCCACACAAGTTGCATGTGCATGAGAAATTTTTGACAATAAATTGGCGGCGTGCGTGAATATTAGGTTAGCCTGTAAGTCTCTCATCATGCCTGTGCTGGTGTATGGCGCAGAAGCATTGACAATGACAACAACCGATGAGGCGGCTCTTGGAGTATTCGAGAGAAAGATTTTGCGGAAGATTAACGGGCCTTTACGCGTTGGCGACGGCGAGTACTGCAGACGATGGAACGATGAGCTTTATGAGCTTTACAACGACATGGACATAATGCAGCGGCTCCGCTGACTTGGCCATGTCGTTCGAATGGACACCGACGCTCCAGCTCTGAAAGTATTCAACTCGGAACCCGCTGATGGAGAGGAAGAGGGAGGCCCCACTGAGATGGAAAGACCAGGTGGAGAAGGACTTGGCTTCACTTGGCACTTCCAATTGGCGTCAGTTGGCACAGAAAAGAAACGACTTGCGTGCTGTGTTGAACTCGGCCAAAATCGCTTAGGCGGTTACAGCGCCAAATAAGAAGAAGAAGTAACAGGTTCCCTATCCAATG